CCACTATTGTATTGTTTCTGGATGTGAAGCCATGTAATTATTTCTGCTATTATATTAAGTGCCATAATTTTAATAAAGCAAATGTACATACGAAATCATTGTAACTGGTATTTTCTGAGAAATAGTTCATTGAAAATCAGACTTAATATTTTCCTATATTAAGTTTTACTATGTGTGTATATTGGAAATATTAATTTTCCTATGTGTTTTATACTGGAATTTTATTTGGTTTCTTTTTATGATTGACTATGAAGTATTTGATATATACTAGGTTTATTAGGTGCTCATTTATTTAGTTAAGAGTTTATTTCACCTTTTTAGGGAATAAGATTAGTTGATATGTATGGTATGTATATGTATTTGGAAATAGATACATTAAATATGGCTCTTGGTGAGGTGGAGGCTGAATTGATATTTACCTTGCCTCAGAAGAGGCTACATGTCTGGGGCTACTTCACACTTGAGCCCTGAGCAATAAGAAATGTCTATCTTTATCCCCGAGGCACAGGCTTCAAAGGTAGGCAGATGAGGCTACGAGTTCTCTGTTCTGGGGCTCCCCAAATGCTGGGTCTTCAGCTTTCTGGGACTTTCTTAAGAAGTGCTGCTTGCTACTTTGAAACTTGGATTCAGCATTTGGAATATATTTTATTGCTTTTGGATATTAAAATTTACACAGAAAATCTTTTCTGGCCCTTGTGATAGTTGATCTGGTTGGAGTTTTGTGTTTTTTTCTAGACTTCGTTTTTTAAAAAAAAATACAGGTTGATAATCCCGTATATGAAACCCTTGGATCCAAATGTATTTCATAATTTGGATTTTAGAAAGTTTATACAAGTGCATATAACTTTTTAATGGAGCATTCCCATCAGAGTTGGGAAGCACCCTTTAATCAAATACAGCAATATTTCTGTAGTGAAACCTATGAATATTCACAGTAAATTGAATACATAGACCTGATAAATAGCCTCGTCTAAATTTAGGTCAGGTTTTGCCACCAACAGTTTACAGCAGATGTATTTGGAAAGTTTTCATTTTTTGGAGATTCTAGATTTTGAAATTCAGCATAAGGAATTTTGGACCTGAACTCATTTTTGTATTTTAGTATTTTATACTTTTTTTTCCTCCCTATTTTGCTTTTCTTATTAAAAGGGAAGTGGAAACTGTGAACCAGTGTGTGGAGTAGCTGCTCCCGAGTAGCGCACGGTGGGGAGGGGTGGGAACAGGCCTCCCCGCATTCAGGAGCAGGTTCTGTGCTGCCAGAGGAGCAGGGGGTGAAAGTGTCCCCAGCAGAATGGCTGGATTCCTCATAGCCTCCCTGAGGCAACCAGGAAGAACCCGCGGGGTCCAGTTATTTTGAGGAACAGGGGATGGGGGAGCGGGGAGTGCTGAGAGCCCAGGAATCTACTGGTAAAGTGTGCGGAGAGTTTTTAATAAAGAGAAGTTGACAGGCCAGGTTTGGGGATGAGTGGGAGTTTCTTCCATTAGTACCTGTCGACATTTTCTGTATTTCAAATGTTTTGTAGCTCTCAAGGATAAAATTAGTAGTGCCGGTAGAAAATAGCAATTATAAAAGATTTTAATTAGTCATGTATTTATTAGAGTTCTGCCAGAGAAACAACCATAGGAGATAGATGGATAGAGATATGTGAAGAGATCCGTTTCTAGGAGTTGACTCGTGACTGTGGGGTGGCAGGTCCACAGTCCTGGGGCTGGCCTACACCACAGGCTGGACACGCCCGGGCAGGGCTGAAGCTGCAGTCTGCAGGTGGAATTTCCGAACACTTTGGCTTCTAAAGTTTTTTTTTCATTTATTTTAGCAAATATGACTTAAAAGTAGTGTCATGCATTCGTTCATTTGACAACAGCCCTCCTGAGCACGCAGTGCACACATTACGTCAGGTGCCGGAGGTGCACGTTGCATCCTGGCTGCGGTTCCCGTCAACCGTGGCCGGGTGAGACTGGTCTACGTGTGCTATGAACCTCGTCTGTTTGTGGACTAAAGCCAAAATTACTTAGATTTTATTTAAAAATAAATGTGTTTAAAACGTATGCTTCTTTCTCTTATAGTTGATTAGGGGCTCAGGAAGTACCCTCATTTACTCCAAATACAAAGTCCACGTCTCTAAGAAGACAGAATTGAAGTTGCACTGTCTATTCAGTTAAAAATTCACTTTTTACTAAGCAGTGCCCTTAGATCCTCTTGTTCCACCTGCTTGTTTATACTTGATGCAAAATTTATTTGGTTTCCAAACCATAGCACATTGGAAGTGGAATTTAAAATATGGAGAAGACTGCTAAGAAGTAAGAAGCGATGTTTTAAATCAGGGAAGGAAGGGGACAAAAAACTATGTAAATCAGACACAGCCTAACAGCCTTAGCATGAGGACTTCTGTCCTTTGAGAAGAATAGCTTCCGCTCTCCTCCACTGTTCCCCAGGGGAGTAGAGAGGGACCTGCGGGGGAGAGCGGGGGAGGACCTGAGCGTGTGTAGCTCACCCCTTCCTTGCACTTTGGGTGTGGCTGCCTTCAGAACAGGGGCTCTGTCCACCCCCTCCATGAAGTGAGCTACGGAGTTGGGTACCTACAGTTCTGCTCGAGGTGGGAGAGCTTCGTGTTTTATTCAGCTGTTGAGTCTTAGGAAGTCCATTTTGCTGCAAATCGTACTTCTTTACTATTAAAGCCGATATTTTGATCGTCATCTTTTCGGCTCATGTTTACTTCTCAGTTTGGAAATTGGAAAAGAAATAAGGGCTATTTTTTGAAGTCACTAAAATATCAACACTCAATGGTCTATAACCACTTAATATTTAGGAGTATCAGTGTTTATACCTCATTAGGTATGTTCATAATCATGACCTTAGACCTCTAATGAAAATTGAAACTACACTGTATAATGTATTTAAGACAGGTTTATGTAATACATTTTAGAATACAGCCTAACTAAAAGTTTTGATTCTAGCCAAGGATGAATTCCTTATCATCACACTGGTGAATGCAGTTATCCATAACAACTTCTTTCATGATGATTCCATATAGCAAAGAAGCAAAAAAATCTAATTTACAGCTTTATTCAAAAGGTTCTATTCTCCATACTTTCTCCTTGATTCTTTCTCTTGACCTCATTTTATCATCTAAGCACCATTTTTTTTTTTTTTTGACATGTACTATGAGAACCAGGCTAATTTAGAAATTTTCCATGGTGATCCTGTGCTGTGTCAACCAGACTTGAAGACATTTGTTTGGCACAAACAAGGAACAAGAGAGTAAGTATGACCAAAAAAAAAAAAAAAACAGGCAAACTATTTACTATGACAATAGGAATGTCGTAGCAAGAAAGCACACACTGATTTTAAACATCAGGACTTGGGGCCAGCCGGGTGCCATAGTGGTTAGGTGCGCGCGCTCCACTTCAGCAGCCCGGGGCTCGCAGGTTCGGATCCTGGGCGCGGAGCTATGCACTGCTTGTCAAGCCGTGCTGTGGCGGCGTCCCATATAAAGTGGAGGAAGATGGGCACGGATGTTAGCCCAGGGCCAGTCTTCCTCAGCAAAAAGAGGAGGCTTGGCAGCGGATGTTAGCTCAGGGCTGATCTTCGTCACAGGGAAAAAAAAAAATCAGGACTTAACTAAATGGAAAAGGTGAATGCCAATTTATAATCTGAAAACAACTTAACCCCCTGAGAAACTTTAGTAGCATTATATTCTGAGTTGAGTTTGCTCTTAACTGCTTAGGAAGCACTGTATATTTTGTAATTTCAAGTGTTCATGCATCCTAGCAATTTAAAAATTGAGGAGTTGTTATAAGCGGGCTACACTGTTAAAGGAATGCCTTGTTAAAATGGCATTAGAGGTTAAGTGCACATGCTCCGCTACTGGCGGCCCGGGTTCGGATCCCGGGAGCGCACCGA